TTAAATGGTGTCCTCCATTTAACCTTAGCAGAGACTTGACTGCACTGTGCATAACTCCAACTTCAAATCCGAGGCTCTTTCTCGCTCTGCTTCTGTATTTTATCCTTGCGTCGGTGTTTCCAATTCTCTCTTCTACTCTTGTTTCTGATCAAATATTACCCTGTGGCTTCCACCAACAGCTTCTTTCTTCTAACTAATGAAAACTGTCGACATTCGATAGATTGTCAATACAAGATGAATCCTTGTTGATCTTCAGAAGCAAAGATGTCATAGTGCAATGCAAAATCAAATATATAAGAATAGGGTTTTCTTATAAGGTCATATTCGGTATGTATAGTGTCTAGCTGCTGACCCAGAATTGTAAATATCTCTCACTTAATTCTTTGTGAGATCAAATGACAACTATATTAACTGCAGCACGTCCCTCTGACATCACATCCAGGGACAGTGGGATCTTGAACCTGACTGTGGGGAATAACCATTCTCTCCCCCTCGGGCCTTCCAGCCATTATAGGGAAGACATCTGAAATTCCAGCTGGCCGTTACCCTCCAGATGGTGGAAACTTCAGAGCTGCGGTCCAACTTTGCTGGCAAAGTAGCTGCATCCCACTCTTAAGTGGGATGCAAAACTCAGCATCACCTGTTGCTCATGAATTTGTTATAAGTTTCAGGAGACTGCATCTCTACCACCGATAGAGTGAAATAAGACTGTTCAGAACTATCGATATGCTGCTCTTCTTTCTCCGTCTGCTTTTTTCCACACAGTAGCTAACTATTTTAAATAACTTACATCAATTTAACCAGTTTGTTACAGAATGGATGCAGCAGAACAGTAAATACTTGTTCCTAATTGTAAATGTCTGTTTTTAGATACAGTCATGATCCTGCCCTTTGTGGACCTTTGGGTTCAGTTTAAATTTCTTTTGAGGTTTCATTTAAAATTTTATTTATGTCGTTATATGTTATCTTGGTAATCATTTCTTTTGCATTTTGTGTTATTGCAGTCGTTTTCTAGTTGTGTTGCTCTCTGTTGCCCTCTTGTGCCAGTCTCCTTTCCCCTATCTTCTATTTACTTCTATCCACACCTGCTGCTTATCAGCTGATTACCCCAGACTTTGTTCTGTCTCCCATATACAGTATATACTCTTATTGTCCAGTTCCTCAGTACAGGTTTCTCTTCATTGCTCCGATCCTCATGTGTTTCTCCCTGGGATCTCGTGGTTGTTTATTGATCCTGGATTAGTGTATCTGTTGCCATCTACATCCATTATATCTGCAAGAACTCATCCCTGCCTCCTCATCTCTGCTTTTGAGTCCTCAAACAACCTCCAACCAACCTTGACATATACAGTGCCTTGAAAAAGCATTTTGAAGGTTTGTCATCTTCAACCATGTAGCACCAAACCTCTTTATATATGTTTTTTGGATTTTGGGGCGACAGTGGCGTTGGATGTGGGAGTTTGCCCTGAAGTCGAAGGAGAGACGGTTCAAGCCCCGACTCTGACTTTCAGTGTCGTTGTGTCCTTGGGCAAGACACTTCACCTGCGTTGTCTACTGATGGTGGCCAGAGGGCCCGGTGGCACTAGTTTGCGGCAGCCCCGCTTCTGTCAGTGAGCCCCAGGGCAGCTGTGGCTACAATGTAGCTTGCCACCATCAGTGTGTGAGTGTGTGCGTGAATGGATGATTGAATGTAATGTAAAGCGCTTTGGTCAAGTCTCCAGACTTGAATAAAGGCGCTATATAAATACATGCCATTTACCATTTATCATTTTGTGTAAAGGCCTGACAATAGGCATAGTTTTTGAGATGGAAATAAAATGATACGTTGTGTTTAAAAAATTTTGCAGTTATAGCGGTGTGTCTTTTGAGATATTACTCAATCAGCTTTGTGCGCCTACAAAATAAATCATGTCCATTCTTTTGTTTTCATGTGTGAAAGGACATTTTTAAAATCTTGTTAACACTCCTAGTTTGCTTTAGGTCTAGCACTGGAATATTAGAGCTAAATCATTTTTTTTAATTGATTTTTCTTTAAATGATAATCACACACGTTTTTAAGAATATGAAGTGAGTAACCACAACATTTTAAATACTGAAAATTTCTGCAAAACATTTAAGGCAAAAATTAAGGCATTTAAGGCATGATTGCTGATGATCACAATTACAGTAGTAGCCATTAAAAATTTTCCCACTTCCCTTGATGGGCCCTTGGTTGATCCTTGTCTGGTCCCTCTACAATTCCTTCTTAAACATCAATCTTTGTACTAAAATATTCTGTCAGGATTTGTCGACATTAAGATCTAAAGAGAAGCATCATCTTCTGGTCAAACCCAGTAATTCAGTGAAAGGGTGTGGTCGGAGTAAAAAAGCGCAGACAGAGGAAACTCTGAGTCAAGGGGAGAATTTTACTATGATGACAGGAACAGAGGTTGAGGAAACTCTCTTTGTGAAATGGAGGTCAGAGTTTCTCATATTTAAGGGTTAGAAATCTTAGAGTTTTTAGTAAACCTGCATTGTGAAATGGAGCCCCAATCATAGATGGTCCTTATTTTTAAGTGTCTTCCACCCAAATTTTGTAGTGTGCCAAATATTGGCCAATCTAAACAAAAATGTCTATGCCATTGTTTCTAATTACAGCTTGACCAATCAAGATCATGGATTTGTTTAGTATCTGTCACAAATCATAGTGCCATTGTGTATTTTAAATAATACTTTTAATAGATAGACGGTCACTTCGGAAGAAAAAGATAATCACAAAGAGATTAAATGCATGATTGTGAGAAGACAAACATAAGCTTTCCCTCCTTTGTCAGCTGCAAATTCAAACCACCACTTTTTATATGTAAAACTTCAGAAAATGGTTTGGAGAGGCTCCAAGACTGTTGGGGCCAGCTGAAGTGTTAACATACAGTATTTGGTCTTTGAAGATATATGATAGAATTGGTTTTGGTAGATATATAATTTTAAAGTTTAAAGCAACACCTCAGTTGTACAGAATCTTTTAAGAGAGTTATACAGCAAACAAAATTGGCTACAGCGGTGGCTTTACAGAAAAGAGAATACCACAGAGTATCAGTAAGTGATTCTTCTGTCATTAAATGCGGTCCAACATTTTTGATTAGGGACTTTTCCTGTAAAGCTGCAATTATATTCTTGTGCAGAAAAACATTAATAATAATAAGCCAAGCAGTACCACCAATGCAATAAATAATAACTTGATGTTAGTGTCTCTGGTGTTTTGCTGTTTTTCTGGTGTGAGTGAGCTTCCTCACAGAGAGGATATTTGTTGGTGGCTGGGCCGACCTGTGTTGCTGCACATCTGAGAACTTTTCTCAATCAAGATCACTAGTGTGTGTATATAAGGAGGCAAAGCATCATCTCTCTTCCCCTGTTGATTACCCCTGATGGTATTCCAGCCAAAGACCTAAACCAGAAATATCCTTCTTGCTGAAATTTGTCTTGTTGTGAATGTCTTGTTCCAGACATTCAATGAACCTCAGTTCATCTCCGATCTTCATGGAAAAGGTCTTACCTCTGTGCAGCACCTTTGTCTTCATTGCCTGCCTTCCTGCTCTCCAACACAATGTCTCTTGCAAGTACCAATGCTCTCGGATCTCATTTACATTCTCATGGACCTCTGGGGTACAGTCTGCATAGCCCCTTGAATCAAATCCCTACAGCTCCTTGCTACAGTACATCCCTTTCATCTCTCAAGTAAGCAAATCAATTTGTCATCAGTTGTCACCTACCAACTCCTTCCTGATCAGTCTGAATTCTCCCTTAGACCGACCAGAAAGTTCAACTGACTTCCTGCAGTTTGTAAATAAAACATTAAAATCACTGGTTCTATGTGTGATTAAGCATGAGGGTCAAAACTAAAAACCAATATGAAAGTTGATGAAAAGAAACAAAAGATAGGCTCTGTAAATTGTAAAATATGTTCTTATACATCCACATTAGTTTTTATAAGCTACCGTATAAATGGAGCATCATGGAATTTCATATGGTAATTTGTTCTCTTTACTCTGTCATTATGGATGTTGCTAGCTGTAAATGCAGGTATCGAGAGGATGACAGATGCTAGTGGTCTTGTCTGCTGCCTTTGAACATTAGATCAGTGATTTTTTTTCCTAGCTGGAAATTGCCAAAACATTTTGCAAGCAGCATGGGGATGATTCATCATTTCTTTCCCAAGGTTTTTGCTATAAAAGAAATGGTATTTTTTTCTGTTCACTTTATGATTTGAAGTGACAGTCACAATGTTCCCACAGCATGTCTTCCAGAGTGCCTGGTTAATGCTGATGTGAATGCCTCTCTGATAGGCTAGGTGCAGTAAAAGAGAGAGCAGTGGCATAGCAAAGCAACACAAATGGCAAGCTTTAGACTAGGGGATACCTTTTTGTTTTTAACAATAAAATAACAGAACTATTGAAGTCTTGAAGGCAATGTGATCGAATTCCTAAATACATGTCTTACCTTTCTTTTTTTTTACCTAAATAGATAAATATATATATATATATATATATATATATATATATATATATATATATATATATATATATATATATATATATATATATATATATATATATCTCTATCTTAATAATATAATAATCATGAAATACTCTCAGTTTGCAGCCTGACTGAGAACTTTTTTTGGGGGGAATTCCTATCATTTCTATATTGCTTAAAGGGATAGTTCGGGATTTTTGACATGAATCTGTATGGCATCCCCATCACCAGTGTCACGCAATCACACTGACTTACCCCTGGCAGCATCCTGTGAGCAGAGTTCTCGTCCAGCTTGAGAAGGACCTCGCTGCAGCAAACAGAAAGGGGCGGGGACGGACCTTTCCGTCAGTCCCATACCTTATTTGGAAATGGGACTATTGCATTCCGGAAATGAAGGGGGCGCTATTTTCATAATCACTAGTATAAATGCCTTAAAGACGCGGGGTTAAGAGGAAAGGAAGAAGAAAGAAAGAAGTTTAAAAAGATTTATCACTGGTGTTCGGCACACGATCCATAATGCAAAACCCACAAAATCAACAAAAGGTAATTTTACCTTCTTAAAATTTTTTTCACATAGTAAATTAATACGCTTTTCTAGATTCAGTTTTTTAAGAAAACCTTCAATTTGTCCTTTTTAAAAGGTCCAGAGAAGAACTACAAAAGGAGAGAAAGCGGAAAAAAGTTAATGAGAGGGCAAAATGTGAGGTAAGCTGTAGCTAAAATTCATCACTTTGTTGTTTTAAGTCATAGAATTTGTATTATGTCCATTCACAGTGTACTTTTGTTCTATGCTTATTTTTTTAAGTCTGAAAGAAAATCAGTATAGAAGAATTAAAAGGGTTGAAGCAGTTTTGATGTTATTTGGATTTGCATTCATCTTTCACTTAGAACATATCTGTATTTTTACAGACTCTGTGTGCTGATGACCACACCTATGCCAAAGGAGCCGAGGCACAAATTGAGGTTCATTTTTTAAATTTACACATAACTAGTAATTTTGATTTGTGTATCTTTATGTGCAAATGAGACTAAAGCCCTAAATAATTTTATTTTTATTTTTTTTATTAAAATTCATTATTTGGACAACTTTTTTTTATATCATTAGAGATGAAAGGATAAGATACTGAGAGATATAAAGTATTAATTATTGTTTAATGCTCTTCACCATGCAGGTAGAAAGGATACCGCCAATCTTACAGGTAAGATTCATTCATAATCATATGTATCATCCATTCTTCCTGTATTACAGTCTTGCAATGCACCTGTTTTTTATTTTGTTAGTTTTTTTATTTTTTTATTTTCAGATGCGGAGGAGAGGAGAGTACCCTCGTTACTACTGTGATGGCATACCTGGACTTTGCCCTGAGTGCCAACATTGAATTCAAAGAAAATATAAGTCGCTTTCCACAATCTGTCACATATTGTTAGTTTTTTTTGTGACATGCCATTTGAAATCGTTTCTGATAAAGAATATTTACCTTTTGACTTTTGCAGTCCTCCTTTTTCATAATGTGTTCTTTCAATATTATTTACATTTTTGAAAGTTCCTTTTGTTGTAGCTCAGTTGATTTACATCATTTAGTTTTCATAGAAATGGTGTTGTTTCCACAAAGTTCCATTGTGGCTGTAATTTGTTGGAGAGACAGTAGAACCAATAAAGTAGTTGTAAATATATTGTAACAGCGTTGTTTAACAATTGGAAAATTTTAAATGCAAGCAAAGCTAATAACTTGCAATATACAATGTTTCCTATACATTTTTGAACAATGACTGGAATCAATACAAATTTTCTTTACAAACCTGACATACAGACAAGTTGTTTATGTTTTAACAGTTAGAATCAACTTGTTTTATGTAATAAAAAATAAGTTGCAGAAACATATTGTTCAGATACAAACATAAGATTAAACGAGCAAAGCGAAGGTGTAATCAGGGTGGAGGTGATGGAAGCTCAGGTGAGGAGCAGTTGCACACATCAAGCTGGACTTTATGAAGGGTGAAGGACTTGCGACCGGCGCCGTTAGGCTGGGAGGGAGGCACCTGAGCAGGTGATTGGCTGAGCAGGTGAGATGAAGACAGACTTTATTCAAAAAGGTTTTCATGTAGAAAAAATATCATTCTCTCTGGTGGTTACCAGTACAGTGTCTACTGCCGGGATCAGAAAGTTGAAGATTATTGTCAAATGAACTTTCTAAAACCTACTTTCTGTGCGAGTCTTTCCAGGTTGAAGCTACATTTAAGGTTTTAATTAATCACTTTGGGTTTTGCTACAATTGGATATTCATGTTTTTGGAGTGCAGTTCATGAATTTATTGCAATTGATAAAATTAATATGGTATTTCTAAATGGAATAGTGGGACACCAGTCAGTTTACTAGTTGAGCTGGAGTCCTTATAGGAGATAATAATTGAGCCAGGTCACCTGCAACCAAGTATATTCTAGTTACCGAATGGCACTTGTTAAAAGTTCAAAAGTCCTTTGGTTTGTTTGTAAATTATATTCACAATGAGAATAATAAGAAAAAATATTTGGCAAATAAACAACAAAAGTGCACCGTGAATGGACGTACTAAGTTGGCCAAAATTGTCGACTAAATGTTTTACAGACCAAACCTCTTTTCCATCTAGTTCTTATTAAATAAGCCAAAGGCTATTATATTTTAGATTTTAAGTTATTTATTTTAAGAGTACCGTTCACAACATCAAAATATATTATTTGAACTTCAGCACCAGCATGTACAGGTGCTGGTCATAAAATTAGAATATCATGAAAAAGTAGATTGATTTCAGTAATTCCATTTAAAAAGTGAAACTTGTATATTATATTCATACATTACATACAAACTCATATATTTCAGATGTTTATTTTGTTTAATTTTGATGATTACAAATGACAACAAATGAAAATCTCAAATTCATCATATCAGAAAATTAGAATATTGTGAAAAGGTTCAAAATTGATGGCCCCTGGTGCCACACTCTAATCAGCTAATTAACTCAAACCACCTGCAAAAGCCTTTAAATGGTCTTTCAGTCTAGTTCTATAGGCTACACAATCATGGGGAAGACTGCTGACTTGACAGTTGTCCAAAAGACGACCATCGACACCTTGCACAAGGAGGGCAAGACACAAAAGGTCATCGCTAAAGAGGCTGGCTGTTCACAGAGCTCAGTGTCCAAGCACATTAATAGAGAGGCGAAGGGAAGGAAAAGATGTGGTCGAAAAAAGTGTACAAGCAAGAGAGATAACCGCACCCTGGAGAGGATTGTGAAATAAAACCCATTCAAAAATGTGGGGGAGATTCACAAAGAGTGGACTGCAGCTGGAGTGAGTGCTTCAAGAACCACCACACACAGACGTATGAAAGACATGGGTTTCTGCTGTCGCATTCCTTGTGTCAAGCCACTCTTGAACCACAGACAGCGTCAGAAGCGTCTTGCCTGGGCTAAAGAGAAACAGGACTGGACTGCTGGTGAGTGGTCCAAAGTCATGTTCTCTGATGAAAGTAAATTTTGCATTTCCTTTGGAAATCAAGGTCCCAGAGTCTGGAGGAAAAGAAGAGAGGCACTTCATCCACGTTGCTTGAAGTCCAGTGTAAAGTTTCCACAGTCAGTGATGGTTTGGGGTGCCATGTCATCTGCTGGTGTTGGTCCATTGTGTTTTCTGAGGTCCAGGGTCAACGCAGCCACATACCAGGAAGTTTTAGAGCACTTCATGCTTCCTGCAGCTGACCAACTTTTTGGAGATGCAGATTTCATTTTCCAACAGGACTTGGCACCTGCACACAGTGCCAAAGCTACCAGTACCTGGTTGAAGGACCATGGTATCCCTGTTCTTAATTGGCCAGCAAACTCTCCTGACCTTAACCCCATAGAAAATCTATGGGGTATTGTGAAGAAGAAGATGCAATACACCAGACCCAACAATTCAGAAGAGCTAAAAGCCACTATTAGAGCAACCTGGGCTATCATAACACCTGAGCAGTGCCACAGACTGATCGACTCCATGCCACGCCGCATTGCTGCAGTAATACAGGCCAAAGGAGGCCCAACTAAATACTGAGTGCTGTACATGCTCATACTTTTCATGTTCATACTTTTCAGTTGGCCAACATTTCTATAAATCCTTTGTTTTTATTGGTCTTCAGTAATATTCTAATTTTCTGATATGATGAATTTGAGATTTTCATTTGTTGTCATTTGTAATCATCAAAATTAAACAAAATAAACATCTGAAATATATGAGTTTGTATGTAATGTATGAATATAATATACAAGTTTCACTTTTTAAATGGAATTACTGAAATCAATCTACTTTTTCATGATATTCTAATTTTATGACCAGCACCTGTATATCTGTTTTCTTAATCAGCGATGGACTGGGGATCTGTCCAGGGTCAGCAGCCTTCATGACCCCACTTGAGGATAATTCATAAAAATTAATGGATGGATAAATGTGCTCTTAATGTAATGTACATTTGTCTCCAAAATATTGATTTTATTTTATTTTTTATGACTTTGTTAGAGATATATAGGGTGTAAGGATAGATAAATACATCTCCATAATGATTCCTTATTGTTGCTTATTTTAGATTGTTTGTTACTAAGATAATTTTAAATAAAGATTTCAAAATAAAAAAGGGACATACCACGTGACAGACATGCCACGTGACTTATCACGTTTTGTAGCCTTTTCTTTACTGTTTAATTAGTATTTTTAATGTTGAAAGTGTTCTTGGGTGTTTTGAAAGGCGTTGTCAAATAAAATACGTTATTATTATTATAATTATTATGAAACGGTCGGTACAGAAAATAGTGTCACTAGCGCCCCCGTCAGTTCCGGAATGAAATGGTCCCATTTCCATATAAGGTATGAGACTGACAGTGGTCCGTCCCCGCCCCTTTCTGTTTGCTGCAGCGAAGTGTACTTCTCCAGCTTTGGTCAAGCCGAAAGTAGTCCGGCAGGTTTGCTAGACCCAGCGAAATAAAACGTTTCTCTTCCCAAAACATTATGTGTTCAAAAGAGTGATATTTTTGCATCCCAAAAACATTGTAGTGGAAAAAGTCACAAGTCGTTATCACTTGGTCCTATTTTCTCTCTGTTCGTATCAGTGCGCGCCGTCATTCTGACAGCGAGATCAACAACAGCCAGATGCATGTCTCGCTCCGCCTAGCTAGGAGCTAGGCGGAGCGAGACATGCATCTGGCTGTTGTCAGGTTAGTAGGCCCTAGCTGTCAGGTCATGGTGTCGCGCGCACTGATACGAACAGAGAGAAAATAGGACCAAGTGATAACGACGTGTGACTTTTTCCACTACAATGTTTTTGGGATGCAAAAATATCGCTCTTTTGAACACATAATGTTTTGGGAAGAGAAACGTTTTATTTCGCTGGGTCTAGCAAACCTGCCGGACTACTTTCGGCTTGACCAAAGCTGTACGAGAACTCTGCTCACAGGATGCTGCCAGGGGTAAGTCAGTGTGATTGCATGACAGTGGTGATGGGGATGCCATACAGATTCATGTCAAAAATCCCGAACTATCCCTTTAATGTCACTTACATGTCTTCCTCGGCCCCATTCATCTTGTTCTGAAAAGGATCTGATATACTATTCTAGTATGTACTAATATAAAATGCAACCAGCAATGATACAATAAAAACCAAAAAAAACATTACTGTTCCTAACATGTAGCAGATTAACATTACTGTTATTTTCACAGGCTTAAACTAGAAATGCATTAAGTTTCACCTTCCTAAGGTACCTATGAACTTCAAATCTACAATTACACCTTTTAACGTATAATATGAGATTAAAAATATTCTAAATATATTTTGAAATTATATTCTTTGAAATTGCTTTGACTAATTTCAAGTATTCCTTTATACTTGGCCTCAACCCAAACCTCTATCCATTTGGTTAAATTATCATAACTTTACTTAAAGACAGTTAGCAGTGGCACACACTGTTACTGAGGCAGTATATGAATCATATGCAGGGAGTGATCTTTTTTTATAGCTACAGTTGCAGAGAAAAAAAACCTAAAAGACAGGTGGTATAGTAGGTCCCAGTCCACGTTTCCACACAATATAGTAATTGTTTCCAATCGGACATTTAGTGTTTGCAGATTTTGTAGAGTAATTCTTTGTGTTACTGCGAAAGAAAAAAATGCTGCTTTCATTGGACAAACCTTTGTTGTGATATTTTACCTTTAGATTGTGAATATATGATAAACTAGAACTGGAGTTGATTATCTAAATCATTCATAATCAGGGGTAAAATCTAATGTTCTTAGTTGAATAATTATAACTATAACCTATTTACTCACTAGGATTTTAGGCCTCTCACACTCAGAGCGGTTTCTGGACCTGCTGTTAAAATCCAGCTTTTCTCCGCCGGTAAAGGACATCATACACACTTTGTTTTAAAAAAATATAAATATAAAAAAATTTAACCGCAGATGTCTGGGGGACAGTGATTCGCCTACAT